AGAATGACAACGTTATCGTGAAACATCAGAATTTCTTTTTACATTTCTTAGCTTTTTATCTTTTTACCTGTTACGACGATTTTTTTTTTTTTATATAAAAGACATACGTAACGTATATACGTGAATACAGTAGCTTGATGGACGGCACTGAGTCGATTGTACAAATTTCTCTGTATTAACGACGAAATAAAGTCTACGCTGTAGACCGATAATTTTGAGAAATCAACGATATTCCGTGTCCAAGAGAGAAGTTAATTTCGAATGTTCTTATAGAAATTAGTATACCGTTACATTGTATATCGTACTTAAGTCAATTTTTGAGCATGTTACATTGTTCAGTTCCATTTTATTTATCAACGTTCAAATATTCATTCGAAGTACTGTAAATATTCCAAAACCTTAAAGTAACAGTTTTACGATTAGAACGTTACGTTATGAAAACATTGTAAAGAATATAATTTATTTTATCTCGACGATTCTTTAGAGTTTTAGTTTCCTTCGATTAATTTAAAGTGCATACGACTCGTCCAACTTCTTTGCTCACAATTTTTTCTCTTTTTCTTTTATAAAATAGTCAACTTTTTTTTTTTTTTTTAAACGTGTCAGAAGTAGACACGAAGTTCGAGGGAAGGTTTGTCGTACGTAACGCGGAAACGACATCACTGGTTTCAGAAAGAACACTGCTCCTAAAGATAATAATATCGTGTCGATACGACGATTCGCAACTTTACAGCTTCTTAAGCGTTAAACGACGAAGGCTGCTTTCTCTCTATTCGATCCAAAGTAAACGCGTAAGAATATATCCGAAATATATATAACTAGAAGAAAAGATACTTCGAACTGGCATTGATCCCATATTTTGTAAAAATCTGAATTTAAATTTTATCTGTCGTAGCGAGCAAGTATATACGTATCGTCAAAGAACAGAGAAGAAACGAAGAATCGTTTACGCAGAAAACAGCCGAAAATAGAAACAAAGGAGTATAGAACAGCCTGTGTGGTTTTCGTATTTGGATCGCGATTGATCCGAATATTTACACGTACTTGGACGTATATGAGTGTTCAGTTTCGAGGCTTGTTTGCGTGTATACGCGCGTGTACATCAAAGATCCCTCGTCCTCGAGTTGCTCGAATTTTATCAGCATTTCATCTCCGAAAAGATATTTTTATATTATTACATACGCTATATTAATACCGTAGTAGTTTTATAATCGTTTCTTGTTAATCTTACGTTTTAAGGAAAATCCGGAGAAATGTTCAACTTTTCGTTGCATCGTCGTTTTCTCGTTATTAACCAACTTACTTCAACATTAACGGCACGCACTATATGCACGAAGCGTATATACAAAAAAGCTTGGCCATCGAAGTCTCGATAGGAAATAAATTTTATTCGTTCAACCTGTTCGGTTCGCCACTCATCCGCCGAGTACAGCGTCGCTTAATATTTAGCGACCGCGAACAAGCGTAGCGAATTTTATTGCAATTGACTTTAATCGACGCTCGACCTTTACTTGCTTCGTTTCCGATCGGTGCTATACACTTAGCGTCAAGCGAGTACCACCAGACTTTTATTAGCTTTCTCAGCGCTCGAACGTTTTTAGTTTGGAAAATTATGCATCGCTAGTTAACGCAGCCTTGTTAAATTATTACAAGAGTTACAAGCAAATATTCGCGATTATCCGATTAATCTTCAAACCAATTGAGAGGATCAGATGGCAATCGAGGCAAATGGCAGCCCATTAAATATTTTACTCGCTACGTTACACTTTACTAGGGGTAAAATTATGGTATATCAAAATTTGTTAACAATCAACGTTTTATGCGACACGTGTGTACATTTGGTCCTCTCAATTAGGGCATCAACTAATATCCACTTTGACGCTCGGATTTTACCAGCTACTAACAATAAGTATTGTAAGATGAGTATTTTCTTTCGATTAATTATCGATCGATGATTGTTAACGAAGATGTTATTAGGATGGCGGGAAATAAATATGTTGTGCTTTTCGTGCAGCGAAAGGCAGAAGAACACCGAAATTTCTCCAAGGATTTTCCACATTGAGGTTTTGTTCGCTATCTCGTTTCGTTCCTTATATCGTTTGGAAAGGAAAGTTTCCAGATGAAAGGTGGAAATGAGAAACGCAAATTGTTCACTCATCGATATTTAAAGCGGCAATCTCGAGAAATTAAGAGCGGCCTTTTATTCGCTTTCGACGACGGTTCATAGATGGAAAGTCGAATCCGTTTAAGGGGAGGAGGGATCTTCTTGGTACGACGTCGAATCCTGACAAAAATTCCTACGAACGTTCCGTACGCAAATATTTAAACTCCTCGAGACGCCGCCAGTCTCATTACGCGGCTCCTACAGCATTTACCAGATACTTTCAGGAATTTTTGGCAGCGAAGCTGTGCTCTCCGGTTTATAAATTATTCGACTTTGACCAACACGAGGCTTTCACTCGGCTTCCACTTGACAATCGACGAATATTCCTCGTCGTTTCAAACGAGTTCTTGCGCCAGTGTTGGGCTTCAATTATTTCGGATAACATATAAAATAAATTTAGTCAACGTCTTTTGCATTCGTCGTTCTAAATCTTCGAATAAAAGAAATAACGTTGCTCCGTCGAAAAGAATATTTATAGCGCGTAAAGACGAATACAAAACTTCTTTGCGAAATGACCGAAAACGCTTGGATAGCTTCGATAACTTGGAACAAAGCGAATAATATACAAGTAGCGGGTTTTCTTTTCCTTTTCATTCTAGTAACGAACATTGGTTCACCCAACACTGCCCTGCGCATTCATCCCGTGTACACCTTCTACCCTCCTTTCTTTTATTTTTACCTCATTCGCTTTCTCCGCTTCCTTTTCCTTGCTTCTCCCCGCTCTCCTTTCTATCTTTCTTTCATCTCAATCTCATTCAAACATTTAGCAGAATCAACGCGCGATCTTTGCTGATCCAGGCGCGTTCTCGGTGTTTTCCGAATGATACGAGCGAATGATCCGTGTTTACTAGAATGGAGGGAGGTGAAGACGTTGTGGCGAGAATAAAGAACGGACAGGAGAAATTGGAGAGGAGAGGAGAGATCGGTCGCTCGAGCAAACGATCGAAGAAAGTGAAAAAGATACATTAGCTGAATTGATGTATCGCGAGAAGTCCCTGAATAACGTTAGATCGGTGCGGGTAAAATGTCGGATGTTTGGTGCGCGCACGCGCTCCAGCCTCGTTTATTAAGGCGCTCCGCTGTCTTCTTATTTGGTCGTGAAGTTTTTCTCCTCTTCTTTTCTCGCCTCCCTCGCTTCTTTTCCTCGTTTTTGTTGCTTTCTGAAAGGTTAGCAGGTTGGTGCGGACGTGATTTAATTAAAAGCTCCAATTAATTGCTGCCTCCAGCAGCTTTTGATTTAAAACGTGACTCCACTTCCTGTGGCCAAGCTGCTCACTGTTTTTCGCGTTCGGCTTTAAGGCTTTGGAACGCCCTTCATTATCACTTTCCACGCAAGTACTTCGTTCTTGGCAATTTCACGAGCATTTCGATCTTACGATTCGAAAACCGTACGCTGCTTGTTTTTGCGTCAAACGTAATTAGAAACGATTCGTAATTGAAACGTAAGATTGCACATGCTGTAGGTAAAACGTTAATTCGACTGATACGTTCCTTATCGGAGATGCATAGAAGCCAAATTAGTCAATTTTGTCGCGGTCTATTTTCGTTTGAAAAGTCAAGCAATAATTATATATTCTCGGGGTACAATTAAGTTATTTTCAGATAGTATAGTTAGTCAGTTTACTCTTCAGGGTGGCTCGTTTGTTAGTGGTATCCGTGCTACGTTAATGCGATATAGTTCGTGAAATATTTGTAACAAAATTGAAACGTATAATGTTTGTATAATTTCATGTAACATCCACGAGTTTGTGTTTTAACCACGATACCTATTATGCATACTAAACAGATCGTTAACGTTTCATAAATTTCACTTAGTAGAAATAAAATAGGGCGAAATGAAATTTACCATCTTCTAATTCGGTTGAATTATATCGACAAAGTTCTCGTTTTCTTCTCTTCCATCGTGTATTATATAATGCGTGTCTACGTTTATAAAAACACAGAGATTATTTACTTATCTAGTCGTTTCGAGCTTCGTACGAATTTACAAAGCTTCCGAAGAAGAAGAAAACAAGCAGCTTGGTATATTTGCCAGAAATATTCTCTTCTACACGACGACTGTTCGTACCTCAAGAAAATATCTCTGGAAATTTCAAAAATTCCTCTTTCCAACGCATTAGTCAAACACATTCTCTCGTGCTGTACACGTTTTAAGTTATATATATATATTATATATATATATAATTAAAGGTAAAGTAGTATAAAAATATATAAATAAAATATGTATTTAAATATATCGTAATAAATTATAAATTACATACTATAAATATAACGTGATAAATATACTTGTTTTACACGAATATGTCTATAAATTTATAAAGTTGAAAAGTTATAAAGATAAATTACGTCAAATACTTCTCCTATCATAAACATCAGCAAAAAATTCACCAGACCTCAAGCTCTAATAAAACTCGAATAAAGAAGAACAGGACACTTCCAGTTTTACATTCTCCTGCTAACCTTTCGAGCGCAACCCTCGTTCACCGAATTTCGAGAGATTTATCATCCATTAAGATCCCAATGATCGCCTGTAAGCCACCAACAAGCCAGAATTTCACAGCCAAAATTTCTCCCAACCCCTGCTACACACGTATGCTCGTACACACATACGTATACGTGTGCTGGAACGAACAAAAACGAAAAGAAGCCAGGACAGCTGTAATAATCCACGCATGGTCGCAGTGAAAGGCGTCGCAAGTGGTTGCGGTAAAAATCCGACGTTTCACCCGCAGCGATCTAATATTCCCTTATAGACCATGCAATCTTGATACCCGTCTTGAGCTCGTTCCTCCGGCAATCTTTCCCCTCCGTCCCCGGCTCTCTTTCTCTCCCTCACCGTTTTTCCCGTTCGGCTCGGTAGGTCGTCCCGACGCCCCGGTTGAGTGCGCCTCGGCAGTGGTGGAGAGTGGCGTTGGTTTCAGCTTTAACCCAAACCTCCGGCTGTCTTGGTCCCGTTGGTCCGCAGGTTAGAGTTCCTCCGGTCCTCCTCTGGAACCCACCGTACAAGAAGAACAGGAAAACAAAGACACTACAGACCTTCCCGCTCGGGCGACAATTACAGCTAAAATTGTCTTGCGTCTTGGCCAAGACCACTGTTTAAACCCTCGCTTTTTCCCCCTTTTTCTACCTTTGTTCTTTCTTTCCTTCTTTTCGCGTTCCCTTTGTACACCAGCAGCAGCCTTTGTGCATGATAATTGCTGGACATACACGCGGCTTCTTCCTAGAAATACTCGGCTCAACGGAGTAAGAAATGTAGGTTTGGCGAACGCTGCGAGTGCACCTGTGATGCGGTTTAAGACTCGTTTCAGGTGCTTGGGAAAGATTGTAGGTAGTTTGGAGGAGGTGTGTCGGTGGCTTTTACTGGAGGTTTTGCGGGCCGTACGAAGGAGAACGTTGTTTTCATGTACGTAGATACGTATAGGATTGCGTGCAGATAAGCTAAATATATGTACGTATACAAATAAACGTGTCTGTGGAAAGGAACTGTTAAAACTTTTAACGACTTTGTCTGTACCTATATATTTTGTCAAACCACTGACAAGAAACCACTATCGTAGTATCTTTCTACGCTCTGTGTTCCGTAGTATTCTTCGTTCTAAACGCGAAACGGTATATATGCAAAAGAAAGGATAGAAAAATTGTTGATCAACGAAGAGTAGGTAAACTTGCATCTATATCGGAATGCTACTCGTCGCTCGAACCTACGATGTCATTTTCCTCCCATAAAAACGCGAGTGGGCGATGGAAAACGTTACGATAGTGCCTTTGAAATCCGTCAATAGTCGACTAGTACAATAGCGTTGTTGCATTCGTCGTATTGGATTGTCGCGGGGATTCTGTTTTTACGAAGATAGGATATCTTACTCTACGCTGGCAAGCACTTGTCGCCTTTTATGTCGTTTCCATAGATTTGTATTAGTAACTAACCAGTACTCCTAATAATACGATAAGAAATCCGTACATTTTATCTTGACAACGAAATATAGTGGACAGTGGAAACGGAGTAAAATACGTTTCTACGCGGACTTACGCGAAAACGACAAACCTAATCCTCGAGAAACACGTGTCGCGATCAAGCATGGAGAACTTACCTGTTTTCGTGGCGAACGAAACATCCTTTGGATGATTGGTCTTGATAGCGTTCATCCGTCTGTTCTGAGGTCCCATGCCGCCAGTGCAGCCGACCCCGGGCGTCTGTCCAAGGCCAGGGGCTAGAGCACCGGATCCCGATGTAGGTCCACCCGACTGCATGTGCTGTTGGGTGCATCCCGGTGGCCCCATAGTGCCTGCAACCCCGGCCGCTCCCAACGGCGCACCCAGAGTCCGTACTCTCGGCTGTTCGACCGGAATTACACGGCGTCTCTTCTTCGGTAGCTTGGCTCGCGCCTGCGTGTGACTGTAATACATCGCAAAGTTGCTGACGATCACGGGCACCGGCAGGGCGATCGTGAGGACACCGGCAAGGGCGCACAGCGCGCCGACGAACCCAGCAGCAGCCTTTGTGCATGATAATTGCTGGACATACACGCGGCTTCTTCCTAGAAATACTCGGCTCAACGGAGTAAGAAATGTAGGTTTGGCGAACGCTGCGAGTGCACCTGTGATGCGGTTTAAGACTCGTTTCAGGTGCTTGGGAAAGATTGTAGGTAGTTTGGAGGAGGTGTGTCGGTGGCTTTTACTGGAGGTTTTGCGGGCCGTACGAAGGAGAACGTTGTTTTCATGTACGTAGATACGTATAGGATTGCGTGCAGATAAGCTAAATATATGTACGTATACAAATAAACGTGTCTGTGGAAAGGAACTGTTAAAACTTTTAACGACTTTGTCTGTACCTATATATTTTGTCAAACCACTGACAAGAAACCACTATCGTAGTATCTTTCTACGCTCTGTGTTCCGTAGTATTCTTCGTTCTAAACGCGAAACGGTATATATGCAAAAGAAAGGATAGAAAAATTGTTGATCAACGAAGAGTAGGTAAACTTGCATCTATATCGGAATGCTACTCGTCGCTCGAACCTACGATGTCATTTTCCTCCCATAAAAACGCGAGTGGGCGATGGAAAACGTTACGATAGTGCCTTTGAAATCCGTCAATAGTCGACTAGTACAATAGCGTTGTTGCATTCGTCGTATTGGATTGTCGCGGGGATTCTGTTTTTACGAAGATAGGATATCTTACTCTACGCTGGCAAGCACTTGTCGCCTTTTATGTCGTTTCCATAGATTTGTATTAGTAACTAACCAGTACTCCTAATAATACGATAAGAAATCCGTACATTTTATCTTGACAACGAAATATAGTGGACAGTGGAAACGGAGTAAAATACGTTTCTACGCGGACTTACGCGAAAACGACAAACCTAATCCTCGAGAAACACGTGTCGCGATCAAGCATGGAGAACTTACCTGTTTTCGTGGCGAACGAAACATCCTTTGGATGATTGGTCTTGATAGCGTTCATCCGTCTGTTCTGAGGTCCCATGCCGCCAGTGCAGCCGACCCCGGGCGTCTGTCCAAGGCCAGGGGCTAGAGCACCGGATCCCGATGTAGGTCCACCCGACTGCATGTGCTGTTGGGTGCATCCCGGTGGCCCCATAGTGCCTGCAACCCCGGCCGCTCCCAACGGCGCACCCAGAGTCCGTACTCTCGGCTGTTCGACCGGAATTACACGGCGTCTCTTCTTCGGTAGCTTGGCTCGCGCCTGCGTGTGACTGTAATACATCGCAAAGTTGCTGACGATCACGGGCACCGGCAGGGCGATCGTGAGGACACCGGCAAGGGCGCACAGCGCGCCGACGAACATCCCTATGTAGGTTTTCGGCACCATGTCCCCGTAACCGACGGTGGTCATCGTGACCAGAGCCCACCACAATCCCAATGGTATGCTCTTGAAATCATTCTTCGGATTGTACTGGGTACGTTCCGCGTAATAGACCAAACTGGCGAAGATCACGATGCCAAGGACCAAGAAGAAGACCAACAAGGTCAATTCTTTGGCGGATGCGCGGAACGTCTGGATGAGAATCTTCAGGCCGGACGAATGACGGGTTAGCTTGAACAGTCTCATGATACGTATGATGCTCAAGAACTCGAGTATATCGGCGTTCTCCAGATGCGAGGCGAAACGCTGTAGCCCCAGGTCGATGTAGAAACTGACGGTAGCTACCATGTCGATCACGTTGACCGAGCTCTTGATGAACACGCACCGGTTCGGGCTCGCGGTAATCCGTATTAGAAACTCGAGAGTAAACCAGGCGTTGCACACGCACTCGATGTAGAAAAAGAAGTCGTGAGCGTTCGTATGCGTTTTATCCACCGCCCAGGAGCTGCCGTTCCCCGTGTTCACCGATCGGTTCACGATCACCGGCACGCGCATGTCCGGATGCGTCTTCAGGCAGAACGACAAGATCGAGATGCAGATGAACAGGACCGAGACTATGCTGATCACCTGTGGAGCATTTCGAATAATTTGATTAGAGGTGGATTGATCGTCAGGTTCGAGTTTGCATTGTGTTAGAGAATTGCTCGAGACATTTATCATCGTATCAAAATTTCTTCTCGTAGACGGTCGTAACAAACGCATCATCCATATCATACTACGATCAAAGATATAATTGAAAATACCCACTTCTCTAGGGTATTCCAAACAGAACCCTAAAACTAAACGCAAACACTTCCAACAAATTGATCGGCGATAAAAGGATAAAGAAACGAAGAGTCGAGGGCGTGATTCGAATCCCTGCTATCGCTCGCGAAGAAGATATCAACGTATGACTAAAGTTTCAGAATTGCTTTTCATTATGAGCGTCAGAACGTGGACAATGTTAGACGAAAATCTGAATAGGCCATAAAATGTCTGGAGGGATCGCGTCGAACCATGAAACTGAGATTATCGCGGAGATCGCCTAGAGGAGTACTAACGCACGACTAACTTTTATAGAAAATCCTGTTACCGTGGTTCCACCGTGTTTTGTTCCTTGTAACGACGTTAAAAGTTACGCGCTGTTGCGTGATCAGTACGTTCTTACCTCTACGATCGATTTTCTTCGGCAACAGCTTTTAACGTCGCTACGGAACAAGTAGTTACGCTAACCTTCGATACGAACGAGAATTTACGTCGATGACTCTTTTTTGAATGTGGCCGATATTAACGGAGGCTATAGACGATCCATTCTGTCACGCAGCGATTTAACGCGTTGGTGATACACGAACATTAGAGTTACTCTACAAAATGTCTGAAAATTTGACTGGTTAATCATAATTAAACGAAAAAAAAGACAATCTATACTCGTGTTAAATAAAATTCCTATCGGAGATAATAACAAGCTGGATAAATTATCGCACGATTCATTTTATGCTACCTTTGTGTTTCTTTGTACGACGTAATGCTACGTATTGTGATCTAAAATAATCACCGTGTTCCTGAGAAACGAACTGAGAAAGGTATTGTAATAATTTCACGTCAACTTCACGTGGACAGGATAATAGAATTGGAGGCGAAAGACGATAATAGTTGAAAGGGATCGTACAGAGAACACAGGTAAGACGAGATGAAACGAAAATAAAGCCGGGAGAAAAGTAATATGAAAAGTAAATTCCAACTACCAATTCCTGGATGTACTTTAATCGCTTCTTTGCCGTTCAGTTAGTTCCTCTTTTTATCATAAATAATTTCGATAACCGACGGAGCGAGAGATATCCTTGAGAATATCCTGCGACGATGACGCGCACTAGAAAGATCGTGAATTATTATTAACTTTGATTGAAAGTTTTACGGTTATAGAATTTCAGCACAACGTACAAATTCACAATTTTTCTACAGCCAATTGTCATTTCGCCGCTCGATTTAATTACTTGTCTTTATTAACAACGAAAGAACAAAGATCAAGGATGCCTTTAGCCGAAACGGAAAACGTTTATTGAGATCTTTCTTTTCCATTCCGTGAATACTATCTGGTCTTACAATTGCGAAGCCGGAATCCAACCTGTACAGAAATTTTATTCCTTTTGGATCATGAATCGCGTATTGGAAACCCGATAGAAGTTTATTATCGTGTACAACTTTTTCATTGAACGTAAACCTGTTTACAGCGGAGTTCTGTCGTTTTGACAGCATCGTACGACGGTTGAAAGTTTTCAGTTTGATCCACTTCTTCGTTTTCTCGCTCTTTGTCATAAACAGCAACAGGGGGAAAATAAATGAAAAGCTGTTTTTACGATGAAACTTTCAGAAGACGTAACAATGTGCCACTGCTTTATTAACCACGTTTAGCTACTTGAGCGTTTCACGAGAATTAAGATACGTGTTTCTTCGTAGTAGTTCTCTTATTCCTAGTTTTATAAATCGCCTGTGAATATTTAAACAGATTTTATTACGATTTTTATTTAACACGAATGACATATGGCGTAGACATTTGTGCAAAAAGACGTTTCATTATAATAAAGCAACAATTTTTATACAAAATATAACGGAGTCGACTGTTTGATACATGATAGAAAATAATGGCTAGCTTCTGCTATAAATTTTAACCTTATTTATAGTTCGTTGTTGTGTATATTTTACGAACTACGTTTCTTGGTTAACCACGAGCAAAGTGTGTTTAAACTTCTTACCCCGAAGTTTCTGTCAAACAAGTTGCCGTCAAACTTTTGACAGCTACCTAACATAATAACAGGACCTGACAAAACCAGTTCCTTTTTCCTTTTCTTCGTGTATTTACATACTAAAACTCGCGCTTAATAACAAATCTTCGTTTCAATCTGAAATTCGATAACAAATAAAATATTTAAATCCTATTTGTTCTTTGAAACGAGAACAAGATCGAAACGGGTGTATAAACTAGAACACCGTAACACGGTTAGCCCTTAACTGCAAGCTTTAACACCTTTTTCGATGGCACCGAACGCTTTTAATGTAACATTTAATCAATTAATTGCTTTCACTTGGAAATTTAAAGCTACATTGAAAACGCATTGATTACTATCTCTACGTTATGTATCGATGTTATTAAAATTACGTATTATCCGAAATATCGATATACCGTACGTTTACACATTGCAACATGTTTATCTAATACGATTAAAGTCGTTAAAGTTTAATTCCAGCGCTAACTAAAATTCTGTTCCAATCGGTGTAGTTCTATCGTATTGTCCATCTTGTCTAGAGAAAACAAATGTATACACATGAAAAATATACAAAATATACAAAATATACAAAATACAAATATACGAACCTTGGCTGCCAGCGAGGAGTAGGGTTCGTCGAACAGCGACCACATCTGGGGCTTGAGCTTTTGCCACCACGTGAGAGTGCCCTCGTAATATGCCTCCTCGAAACCGAACTTCCTTGCCAGTTCCTCGTCGGTCGGCTTCTCGGTATCGAGGTCCAACCTGTCGAGGACTGTCAGCGTTTCCTGCGTGTCCCGATGCTAGAAGAGCGGGTCGGGGTGGAAGAGAGGAAGGATGCAACAACGATCGTTATTCGTACCTGCGAAACTCTCTCGTTCTCTCGAAGGTGCGTATTTTTTTTTTTTTTTTTTTCGTGCTTTTCCTCGGGACACACATAAAAAAGCGCGTGCAAAGCGTACGTGAATGTCCACATATCGAAAGAAGAAAGTCATTCCAAATTTCAGCTACGACTAAATTCTAGCTGGTTTCGAAACTCACGATCACACCGTATGTTACATCTCGTTATTTCTATTTTACGTTATTCCTGTTGCTATTATGTTCTCGTCCGTAATTCGTATTATGCGTGGCTGGAAAGTTGCATGTTTCGAATACCGAAAATTGTAATTAGAAATACTAATAGGTGAACGGTTATCGGAGAGGAAGCGACAGGAGAAAGAATGCCGCACAGTCAGAAATAAGGTTTGCAGCCCAGAACTTAAATCGACTACGGCATTATTGTTCTATCTGGCATAGACGTGTCTCGACTGTCCCAAACAATACATCCAAACAATCTATTTGTAGATATATGACAAGTTTGGCCAATGGCGAAAATACGTGTGCCCTATTTTTCACGTCACGTCACGTCACGTCACGGACGGTAGTCCCATTCCAGTAGAAACCAATCAGGCCGACGTTCCTTTCGCTAGCGAAGTTTCCAGCCACGGAATATGCATGTATCTCATGGCGGTGAAAAGGACCGACGAAAGCATCGTGGTCTCGAGTTACCCCACGTGGCGCATTTGTTCTGGCTGCCACGTGAAATTGCCGGTTTCATAGGGTAAATGACACTGCGCTCTGACTTCTCGCGGCTCTCCGAGTATTCTTCGGCACGCTTCCAACCAACCCACCGGTTTCCTGGATTCCTTTGTGCGAAGGAGTCCCTGGACGATTTCGCGTAGCTCTGAATCATCGTGTTATTATACGGCCGTGTGTTTCTTTATTGGGCGGCGACGACTCGAGGGACGAACTCGACACTCGGAGACAATGGAGAGATGATTCTTATAAAGTATCGTTTGTTCGAGCTTTCGCTTTCTTATTGCTAATTTGATGCCCTGCTTTTGTTCGCCAACAGATTGGGGGAGTACAGATCATTTTGCGGAATTGGTTGTATATAACGTGCAGGATTTTGCCGAAAGAAAACGAGGGAATTATGACCGAGGTTGTTGAATGAATATACGAGGCTTTTATTAGATTTATCATTGACCTTTTCGGTGCTGGGTACTCTAGGCACGATCCTATCAACGACGATATTCGTTACGATCGTTGATACAGGATAGACTGTGGATGTTTCTGCGAATTCATACGCGTTTTACCCTCTTTCGGACCAACGATGCTTTCTCTTCGACCAGACCCTGATGAAACAAGATCGCTTCGAAACCAGCATCGTCTTTACAGGCATTATACAGCATTCGCTCTCACATCGAAGTCACTTGCGTTTCGTCTAATTCCTAGAAATTCACGATACCGTATTTTATTGCTGATAAAATGAAATATCTCTTTGCTCTATAAAGGGTGAATACGTCAATCTATAAACTGCTCTTTTGTTCCGGTATTTTTTCTTAATTCGATTCTCATTTGATGCGATGACGATGACGATCCAACCTCAATAGAGCAACTAGCCTGCGACTATAGCAAATTCTTCCAGAAATTGGACGTATAACAAATGCAAGTAACAATGCGCGATCGAAGCACGAGAATTAAACTCGTCCAATTCCCTTGCTTCGAATTTCCATACGCAAACATTCATTGTAGCTCACAACTAGCAGCACATTTGAATGATAGGGGGAGGATTTCCCAAGGGGACACATGATTTCATCAGTTTCCTCTTTCACCTGGCGGATCATCGGTCCACGCTCCTATTACCGGCTGATAAACAAACTGTCAAAACGGGTCGTCCCCTAATCAGAATCTTTTTTAATTACGAAATTCGAAATTAATAGAGACGAATGAATTCCAGTCAGGCTGCTTTTAACTCTTGCAAATGAGAATGCTACCGATTCTTAATTTAAACAGAAACGAAGATAAGGGACAAGTAAAGAATTACGCTCGAAAGATCGACGATCCGACCTCGGTCAACGGGTTAAGGATTGCCCGGATCGACGCAAAATACTCGAAGTTGCCAAGTTTACGCGTGTGATCGCATCGAAGCGCGAACTTTCACGCTCATCCATCGTTTAGCATACAGGCGTCGTATTAGCAAAAATTTCCTGTGCGAGCAAACTCGGAAGCTGCTATCGTTTGTTACACCGTCACGAAGAAGCTTTTCGTCATTTTATTACGAGTATTTCGCGTTGATTATGGGAATCCTTCGCAATTCGATAAATCAAGGGACGAGATTAACTTGGACCAGGCAAATAGAGTTGCACGAGCCATGTTTCACCGCATCGTTCAATGAACTCGCCCATTGGGATTCGCACCTTCGTCTCATGATTAATCCTAATCACCGGGAAATTCGATGCCGCTTTTTTCGGCCGGCCTCGTTTCGTCGGGTTCCAACGGGAATTCGATTATAATCGCTGCTCGTTTGCACGCCGCGGTTATCGACGAGATTGTTTACGTTAATTGAGCGGAACCGATCGACGTTCTAATCGGAACCGACCTCGCCTGTCTTTTTTTCGAATCGTCCAGTCAACGACTTTAGCGATAGATTCGAGTGATCTTGTGTTATTTATGTTAGTTATATTTGCGAGCATTCGAAACTAACTACTACTACTACTCTTTGTCTACTCTTGGTCTACTCTTTGAATATGAATTAAATTGCTTGCTTTACGAACGTAGATTTCTTGGCTATCTTTATTCGATTTCATAGTTTCGAGGATGGACGACATTGGAAATTTTACTCGTTTAAAAGTTCAGAGATTGTAGCTTTTACCGATCCTAATTTTTGCTTTGAGATTTACCGTACGATACTGTACTAAACAATTTCAATTAAACTTTGGTTAATCTGACACGTACATTTGTTTGTATAATTCTTTATATATTAATTTGAAACACCGTGCACGAAAAAGCCAATAATTTGTCGGTTGTTATACTTGTTTTTGCGTCAAAACGGCTTTGCGGCTTCGCGAATTTGAACTGTTCCCTGCAGCGGAAGCGCGTTGGCGGCTAATTCCATCGTAACGAAAGGATTAAACTTCTGGATTAAATTCATTAATTCTAACAACTTCTTCCGATATTCTGATACTCGTTTAAAATTCGAAACGTTTTAATGTAAAAGTAATCTAAAAAACTGTAGCAGGAATTTCTTCGTGGAAACAGAAGACGCAACGCAAAAGCTTCTTATTTACAATAGCTGCGTGGATTCGTTCTATGGCCTTAATCGCACGAAGCACGAAGATCGATAAATTCGTTTCACAGTTTCCCATTAAGTTTTCCATAATTCACGTTTCATTTCTGTTCTCGGTTTTACGAGTTACGACCGTATCGGATTACTGCTTGGCAACAAAGAAATTATCGTCTGAACGGATATTATTCGGTCTTCATCGGTATTTACGCGCCTCTTTCGCGGATCACTAGAAATTTCTGAATTAATTGGGAAATCTCACGGGCGCCGGATGTTTACACCGCAAAACTGAAATCAATCGGTCAAGAAGATTTCATATTCTAACCATGGAATGGTTAAACGTTCAATCGTTTCTCAAATATTGATATCATAAATTATGGTAAGAACAGATTCAATGGATGATAACAGCTCGTAAGATGCAAACTCTACGACAGCTTTTCGTACATGCAGAGCAACCCGAGGCAAGTAGGGAGAAAACACCGGATAACGGAATAATCGAATTGGCAAACACGGACGTGCAATTCCAGGAATATTTCTGAGGTACCATTACTACTTTGAAGCTAATTGGACGCTGATTGACAATTTGGATAATGTACAATGTACGAGAGACTCGTGGAATGGTATGCTACGATTGTGGCGAGCAGCATTTGAATATTACTGCAGGCTTGTCGTTACTGGATTTTGGCGAATGCGATATATCAGAACCGGAAACCGTGAAGGACGTATATACACGACCCCGATTAGAAGACGATATAGGGTACGCGATCGTGCAGTTAATCGACTAGAAACGCCCCTGTCGACATCGAAAATCCCTTTAGACGATCATTAAAATCGCCCACGACGTGTTCGTAAATTTTCGAACTCTGTTCTATCGCTTTTATACTCGCGATAGTCGCGAATTTTCACGTTGCAGAAAAGGACCTTATACTTATATAGTTACGTATTTTTGTATTTCATGTTAAAAAAATAATTAAATTAAAAAAATTAAAAAATTAAAAAAGTTAAAAAAATTAAAAAAATTAAAAAAATTAAAAAAATTAATTAAACAAATTTTTTTTATCAAAACTTTCTTTTCTCTATGGCTCCGAAGAATACAACTCTTTAAGCGCAAATATGTTAAAGAAAACGTGTCAGCGATTACATGGTAGTACAGCCTCGCTTGATTGTGGTGTTCGTTAACGATTGATTTTAACGTTGATTAATAATCTAACATTTATCGTATGTAACTTATTTTTGATTAATTTCTAGAATTATTATCGACTCATAGGCTGCTACACGTCCACTGATATCAGGCATTTTGCACACGTGTGTTTGAAACGTCGCAACAGCCAGCTAAGAAGATCAGTTAGGTTTTTAAATATTTACGAAACAATGGAAAACTACGAGTAATTCGCCAGAGTTACACAGCATTCTTCGCTAAATTATCTTCTCGGATCTAATCTCGAGATTCACCGAATCTTGCCCCCGCAGCGCAGTAGATCTACGGAACGCGTTTCAAATTTTCATAGAGACTCCCGCGATATTCTTCCGTTTCCAATAAAAATCCATTCTCTTGGTCTCTTCTGCGCTATAATTTAATAGGTAACAATACAAAAATGGCTACACGTTTCCGTTATACAATCAGCTTGGTTACGAACGACGAATTTGCAAGTTTTCTACTGTAAAATTTAAAAACAATTCTTGGCAAAGCTAATGTTTCGCTCTTTCAGAGTACCCTAACTGATATTTGAAATTTAGACATTGTTAGTAACTTTTAGATCGGGTCACGGTTCTAATATCCCTCCAAAACTTGATATTTGTACTTGTACTTTCATCAGAAATCGCGAAATAATGGAAACTGTTCCCGAGGATTGTCAATATTGTACGAACATTAACGACGCTTACGTTTCGACAACCATTTACAAATGAATTCCATTACTCTAATTAAATAATAAATTTATCCGGCGCACACATAAAGGTAACACTGTTTACGTACGTGTCGTATTACGAATGATGAGATTTTATCGTATTCGTAGCGACTCACAGATAATATCTTAATCTTCTATTGTCACGACAGCTGCATGTGCACACTCGTACTATAATGTGGTCGCCATGATTTATGGCCATGTGTGATGAAAATAATAATGTGCATATTATACGAATTATGTTTACTACTGTTGTTTTAACTACTTTATTTAAAAAACCACTATTTTAAGACACTATCTGAACGTGAGAATTTTATTCACAGATACCTGTTCGAATCGGTAGCTTTTTCAATATTTCAATAATTGGAAGACTCTATAAAAACAAAAAAAGGATACATGTGCATCTTTTTCCAGAAATGAAATACATACGCTAACAGCCAAAAGTTTACACTTATTTGTAGTAATTACTCCACATATAAATTACTGCTTCCAATTTTTCTATCGGTAGTGTAATATCAACTCCTAACGTCCGATTCTTTCTCCCTTTGTTAACATTTATTTGCCTCGTTGCCCTGATACCTTCGAGAAACCTTCCACTCCATTATTTCGAAAAAAAGATCTACTGCCCATGAAACAAATAGCCATATCAATTCCAGTGAAATATTCAGTGCCTCGGAAAAATCGCACCTTGTTACTTTATTTATATCCACCGTCACAAATCAATGGCGTTTAATCAAACCCCAAAGATGTCCTTTGCCCTGCGTTCTATAGGCGCCTCCACATAAATCTCTCGTTTCCCCTCATCTTTTTCTCCCGATACCCAACGACCAACACGGGTCGAATATGGTCAAAGCTGCAAATGGTCACCGTTTGGTCCAGACGTCGTAAATGGGTCAAGATGGATAATCTCACGGGATAAGGTTTGGGGACACTCAATGAACGAAGTCGAGGAGAAAGTAAGTTACTTCATAGTATAAATCGAAAGTGAAACGAAGGGTGAGAGGTAAGAAAAAGAGGAACGACGACGAAACGGTTTCATTCAGAGAGGAAGAGAATAAATTTGTAATACTTCGGTCCATCGGTGAAGAAGTAAGATTCGCGAAGTTCAATGGTATGAAAACGAAAAAGAATATTTCAGATTTGCTGCAATTGTGATAATCGAGTTACTATTCTTTGGAAACTTGCCCGACTGCTTACTTTTACGTTTCTCCTACTTTTTTCGCAAAAAAAAGAATGAAAGAAGAGAGAGAGAGAGAGAGGGAGGAAAAAATAGTACGACTTACGAAAAAGTAAAGTGATACGATAAATTCAATTTTGTTTCACAGTCGCATCGTATAATACAATTAATTACGTTTTGCCATGAGTCTGATATCGGTGTCACACGTTAATAGCGAGACGAAGGAAACAAAATGCAATTTATTCGATCGGTTCGTTTCATTTCCATACAACGATCGGTACGCATCGGTATTTCGTAGACCGGAAGAACGAAATTTTTACAGATTTTTCCTAGCTTTCGATTTTCTTTCGTACTTGCATCTTACGAATGTGCACGACAATGGATGCATCAATTCGCTCGCCTCGTACACGGTGTGCTAGTTTCCGCGAATCGATAATTGTGCGTGTACCGTAGAATTTAAAACGGAGAAAGGAACGAGAAGAATGTAAAAAACATGTAAGCGGGTCGAATCCATGTTAAATTTATCGTTTGGTAACATATTACAACGTTTCTGAGTAGATTAATTTCTGAATAATTTCCAAGGATGATTTTAAAATAATATTATTTGGTATTTTGTCTGGCTCGTAAAATTGTCGGAATGTTAAAGCGAACGAATTTCATCAGCAAATTAATACGATTGTCATTGATATTCGTAAAATCGATAGATATACACTGGTGAAATTGTGGAACAACGAATGGTGAAAAAATTTACAAATGGGACATCGCGATTCCATCGATGGAAATGATTCTTTTTTCATTATAAAAGTAGGAATTTTTCGATTCGACTGTCTCGTTGTTTTGCTGAATCAGTTGACCGAAATAACGACCACAGAGAGGAATAATTCATTATTTTATCTGTGTACGCGATTTGTCGCCTCCTTTAATATTGTTAAGGGTATTAAATTAAATTCATCCGACAAATGGCGAATATTTAGAATCGTGTAAACGAAAATTTACACGATCGTGGTTCTGTGTCTAATTCTCGATTAAACGAGCGATAATACGATAAAACGAATAGGATACACGTCGATTATATTATACAAATTGCATTATACGAGCGGTGATTTTCTATGTACTGGTGTATGTACACTATTAATTAACGAACGATAGTATTATTAATGATTAAATAAAATCGATGACACTTGTGTCACATCGTTTGCGTAGTGCAATGCTTCGTATTTGCGATTATAGATCTAGATTGAATATAAAACGATATTATAAACAGACGTAACAAACACATTCCCATTATGTCGTAAAAAAATCAGTATTTACTAGTGTGATTGCGGATGCAGATTAAGCGATCATATTTCTATACTATCTCCTATGTTTAAGCACGTAGACAAGGAATAATATTTATAGTCAAACGATAATTACACGTGCTTTTAAATTACTTAATTCTATCGAGAATAATCTAACCGCAACAAATCAAGTCACTCGATATCAACGTAGAGTCAAATTTACGTAAACTCAAAAAACTTCTAATGGACGAGTAGAACTGTATCTAACGTAATCTAACAATTCCCAATTTTAACTCCGTAGATACGCTGACTCTTCGTCAACGACGACGATACGTCTTAAACTCGAACGCGTATTTGAAAAATCGCGATCTCTCGTCCCTTAATCTTGCACCCGCGATCGATAAAACCGCATCTACGAATAGCTAAGTGAACACGACAAAGAAAACTGAAAGCTGGATAGATGTGCGCCGATGCTTATATACCTGGGTATATGTCATCCAACAACATGGTTCCACCTGATTGGAGTCGAGTCCCCAGAAGTCGAGTTCCTCCTCGAACAACGGTCCGCACACATCGGTCGGATAGTGGAGCTTCCCTGTGCGATAGTAATTGAGCACTTGGGCGAAGACCCCCGGATGCCTGTCGAAGAAGTATTCGTTGAGGATCGGGTCGTAGTTACCGAGAGCCTCGGTCAACTTTGACAGCCTGGTCGCGGGGATCTTCTTCAGGGTCGCCTTGTACGTCTCGTGCCGGATACCGCCCACGTTCAGGATCACGCGGTTTTCCGAATCCGTGTTCAGGATACTCATTTTGATCGCGGCTCTGCTATCGCCGGTTCCGACTCAGAGAAACCCACACGGCCTGCAATGAGAAATGAAAACACGATGATGGCGACACGTTGACGTTGATGGAACTGTTGTCGGTGCTAAGAGGGTGGAATATTCAGCCACGAGCCTGGAATTCCTCGCGTCACGCAATAGGGCGCCAGTTTGCGGGTTCCCATGGCTTATCGATTCACGTCTGTCAAGAGACCATAAGTCTGTGACAGCCTGGCAAAGTCCATCCCTCATAGTCGTCTTTGCTTTCCTTCGCCTTTCACCAAACCTTATAAACTAGTTCAATTCCGATCGTAAGTTGTACAGGAACGTAATTATCTATATCGTTAAACTATCGTAATAAGAAAAAAAGAAAATAGTCTTTGAAAGAATTGCCGTCATTAAGTTGTTCAATCGCTGAAGCAGACTTACAAGATAAGCATCCGTCGTTGACTAACGCAAGAGGACAAGCAAGATCTCTCCAATCTAAGACTGTTTGCCGGTAGCCTCAAAATCTTTTACCTATCGAGTTATGTACATCCTTGAACATATATATCTTGTCTCTCGAGAGCCCTTCAGCGTTTCTTTCAATTCCATTCCCCTTTCGTTTATATAGGCTTGCGTCTATCTGCTACCTTACAGTCAGTTATTCAGATCTTTGATACTGTTCGATGTCCGACAACTTGATGGATCTTTGTTTGCATTTTTAACATATTGACAATAGAAGGAATTTCATATTTCGTGTACCGCTGTTTGTTTTAACGTGATACCATAGCGGAGAACTAAAATAGTTCAAGTACCGCTTGCTATGATATTTCATAAGATTGAGTATTATTATTTCTTAGACAAATGAAAAGATCTTCTACTTCGCATTTCGTTCCATCTATTTTGACACTAGAAACGACCCGCTGTCAAACGGCGAACGTCATTTCACTCTGATTACAAGAGTCGAAAGGAATTCAATGAAAGAACTATCTGTTTTCGATGCACTCGATCAAATACTAAAATGATAGAAACGTTGCTGACATTCCCCATTTTCACTGGAAACGAATCCAGAAGGCACTTGTGTAAGGTTCGATGTCCCCATTCTCCGTGTAAGCCGATTTCCGCGTGAATCGTTGCCAAGAGTCATCGAAATGGCACAATCGAATGCCACTTGCGATGACGATGCCTAATCCAAGAGATTGGAATCGTGATTCTATCGCAAGAAGCTGGTGAGCTAGAGAATTTTGTTGAATTTAAACGTCCTAGGTTATCGTTTTACCTTATTTCCGATGTTATTGCGTAAACTTTAGTTTTAAAAAATTCTAAATTTTACTGCATATTTTTCACTATCGGAAAAAGCTTATAGTCGGTAATACACGGTAAGAGCGTATGCTATATGCAAAAATAAGTCGTGAAAAGAGGAAGGATCTTTCTTCCTGCAGCCTTCGTACTCGAAAAAATCGAGTTTGAAAAATCTGCAATTAACGCTCTTCCCATGGAACGCGTTTATGTCTCGATTTTTTCGAAAACGAAGTATTAAACGGAACAAATCTTCTTCTACATTTTTACAAGCATCTTTACACGTAGAGTAGATGTTCTCACGTAATTCGTTTCAAAATATTTGAGTTACTAATTGTTGTAGAGCCACCCCAAATTGGTTAAAAGTTCGAACAATATCTTTTATTCGATTAGAAGCTCGTAGACGTTTTTGAAGATAAGAATGTGTATTTTCACGTTGGTATTTTTTTGTTAATTAAGTATTTTAATTAGAGTTTCGAAAATTACTTCCTTCGACAGGTACTTACTACTTGTCAATAATGAACGACGTATGACAAACTTCCAAGAGCTTCTAAAAGACAACTGTGTAAAAGACAAGTTCTAAATGCAACTGTTGGGTAATTTGAGACGTATACAGGATGCATTAGCATTTTAATATAAATATCTAATTTCTAAATTGTATTTAGGAGGAACGATATTTCATACGCATCAACTTAATATACAAGATTTTATCTACTGTACGCACAAGATGAAATAATTTGTAGCTGCAATCTTCTATACGACCTTTCCTCCGAGATAGCCGTGGTATTTCCACGAAAATAACTATCATTTTTCATTCACGCGTTTCAAGAGAAGTTCAACCTGCTATGAAAAGCGCTATTACAAGAATTGCCTATAGACACACGCCACCTTCGTTATGTCAAGATACACAAGCTCAGCCTTTTCGACGGCCCTTTAAAAAGAACGAAGGCGAGCAAATTTCTCTTTTGATTTTCAATTTTCCCACGCGAACCACGTTTCTCGAAACGCTTCTCGCCAAAACGCTTGAAAAAGGAAATAAGAAAATCGTACGCGTTCGGCAAATCTACGATCGTCACAAATGGGTAGAACCAGCAAAACTCTCTACCGAGTACCGCGGTATTCCGACAAACGGAACTTTGCATTTATCCCATGCTCGATTCGTACCGTTACGATATCGAACAGCAGCGTTTCTCTGTTAAATGAAAACTTTACGACACCACCAGAGAATCAACGGCAAGTCCGTACTTTTTGTCAGTTGATTTGATTTATAGGGATATCGGTCATCGATTACGCGCAATTTAATCTTCGACCCTTTGTCGAAAACTCTTCGTTGTTTCACAGAGCCGTCGAGGGTCAAGCTTTTTTCCATAGGAAGTGAATCGTAACGGGCCACGATCGACGATCGCGACGAGATTCCAACGAATTTGTCACCATTTTTCGTTACTTGCGAAAAGTCAAAGATATTTTCTCTTTGACAGAAAGTACTCCTCTTTTCACGATGAACGAGAGGCAAGTCTTTTCACACGGAGTATAGTCGTCTTGTACGACGCGATTGCTATGAATTTCTGATCATTTTTCGCGACGTTACGCCGTGCCTTGTCGATTCTAAAGGTGTTTAATGCGTGGAAAATGAAGATTCCGTCTGTCCCTTTTTTTCTTTCACTGTCTGGCTACACTTCAACCGGAATATCGATATTTCTCCTCGAATGGAACGTCGCGAAGATAGATGATTCCGTCGAAAAGCCAGCAATATGGCAAAATTGCGGACATTCTCCAAGCTGTGAGTTTCATTTTAGTAATACTCGATTCTTTACGAATGCTCCAGATTTTCTAGATTTTATTTGTATCTAATGTCTTTTATTCTTTTTTTATTCCAATAGACCATAGATTGTAGGTAAACGGATATACAGGGTGGTCCGTAATTGGTGGTACAATCGAAAATAGAGTGATTCTACGAGAGAAAATAAGCCGAAAATATGGAATAAAATCTTCTCAAACATTTTACTCTGTATTTTCGCCTAATCTTTTCTCACAGAATCAATCTGTACCCAATTGTGCCATTGGTTACGAACCACCTGGTGTATACATATTTTCTAAGTCTTATTGATAGCTTGCCGCAGATAGAAGCGGTGAAGAGTATCTATTTCAAAGTACATAGTATACTTCATCGTATTTCAATGGGAAATTCATCCAAAGGTAAAACTTTCTTAGTTGAGTTTCTGGTTTCGGTTAAGAAAGAAGAGGAGGATTATAAAATATGTTGGTGTTTGGAGAAATATCTGTGATGCAGCGTTCAGCGTTAAAGTATACTTAAATGAATCGAATTCGTCTAATATTTATATTCACCTAATATAATATTTTTAGAATCGTATTTATTCCACGTTATCACTTTATCGAGAGACAAAATCCAATAAAATCTCTCTGCAAGTTGGCCGTTTCGATTCTTTTAATTTCATAGTTTTACGACTCGTGTAACGTGTTCTTATATCCCTCCGTGACACGTCGAATTTCCCGGAAGTTTTACGGCTCGCGAATATTTTCTAATTATACGCTTTCGTGACTTCGTCATTGACGTGTGCATATTTAACAATTGCGCTTAACTGGGACAAACTAAAAATACAAACTTTTTATTCCTGCATCGTGTCCAAATCCTCATCTTCAAATGCACGTTACCTCTCTGTCTAATTTAGCACAAAAATGAGTGCAACTTGGCTGATAGCCATAGCAAAAGCGACGTGGCTATGTTCGATAGGTATCGCCGAAACTTGCATAGGAAAAGCAACAACGGGAATAAATGGGTAGAAGCTGAAACTAAGCTACGTAATCAATTTAAATATTTTATGTACAATTTTCAACGTTAACGCGAGAGGTAAAATTATCAAAACTCGTTAAAGAAAACGATACGATCGTTGTTTTATTCGATGATTTTAAACGATCATCGAACGTATTACTGACAAACGTCACGATGGAAAATCAAATGCTTTCCGAAATTATCGAAGTATTGATGTTTCGCACGGACTGTGAAACCTTCGAACTATTGTGACATTATTTGGTTTGTTAATTCTAACGCATGACAAATGGATTGATCGATGATGAAGGAGAGAATGTGCTTCAGAGCTCGTGACGTTTACCAACGACGTGATGAAGCTTCGATATAACCAATTCTGTATTTGGTTCGGTGTTTTGGATTTCCCCAATTTTTATCTTTCGCTCTTACGTTTGACACGAACGTTGACGAATAAATTGTTGAACGTGAAATATACCGTACAAGAAATTACATCGTATTTCGACGATTTTACAATAAATTAATATACGAATTGAATTTTCCAATCTTAAGAGCCCCCATTTTTTCCCCAATCCAGCGAATTCCATTGCTACTAATGTTTCGTAGTAGGAAGAGATCTCCGAGGGAGTATCAAGGTTGCTGGAATCTCCGCCGATAGCGAATTACTGTCACAGACTTGATAATACGTGACAGGATCTCTGGGAGGTTTCCATGAAACCGTATCAAAGGAGCTATTGAAGTGACATTCCAATTCCGTTCAACCGTGATTAATGTATTAACTGTCGACCGATCCGATATACGATTTCTTAAATACGTACACCTGTAGAAGAATTTTTGTAAAGAATACGATAAGAAAATGAAATGTCATTGGAACGTATTCTAATAAATACATAGATCAAATTATTAAACTCTCCAAGTTGCATATTTTTCTTCTTTCGCAAAGAGTAATTCGAAAAGCACCGCGTGTTACTTTAGTT